CAATCATCAAATTGAAGTTTTTGTACTTTATTTACAAGACGAATTAAGCTAGATGGTAATTTATGTAATACAAAAACGGACGTCTTTATTGATCTAATCTGTTGTAGCGTAGTGAAGTGGAATATTTGTCACATCGCAGCGACGCGAACTCGAGGCACTAATAGATAGATTCAGCATACTGTCGTCGTCCCGTCGATAGCAAAAACGGAATTGACGGCGTCCGATTTACAGTTTCGACAGCAAAGCCAGTAGCGGATACATTAAGGTATACTCCATTTGGTCAATTTCTCCGGCGTCATTGGCAAGGAGTACAAGGTCGACTCGATCAACTTGTTGCATAATAATAGTGTTGTATATAGGATAGTACCGTTTGTTATACAGTATTAATGATTTATAATCTATTGTCTACCCCCCAGGCTTACCATTATAAACCCCCAGAAGCCCCTGCCCCCCGTATTCATCCAGCACCCATTCAGCGAGGACGACCATCGGGCTTTAGAGGGAAGCGAGAGGGATGATTCAACCCTCTACGAGGGCTGACTAATGCTGAGGACCATTTCCCAGAAAATCCCAGCCGCAAAATATTGAGATCCAGGTGGGGGAGGTGCCAAAAATCCAAGCGCTCTTTTGCAGATCTCAGAAAAGGGGCATGAAACTAGAGATCTCTACCCGGGTGCTTGGTGGAGTCAACAGTTTTCGACAGGGTCGCACGTGCTATTTTTGGATTTCATGTTCAGAAATAATGAAAAACGTATTTTTCATTACCTTAAAACGTCGAATTTAAGGCACATCGATGAATGAAGAGCTTTTTACTCTTTAAAGCACCCTGGAAGGCATAAAATTTCCCTTTTGAGGTATTGATAGCTATCCTATGCAAATTTCCATTAGATTAATGAATTTTACAACGCTTAATTGTGACTTTTCGCTTACCTGAAAAGGGGTAAAAAGGCAACAAGGCAAAAATCCGCATATTACTCCCACAGATACTCAAATTTTCGATCTACCACTAAATTTTGGACGTATAAAGTGTTTCCGTGATTTTCCTGCTTCTTTAAATGACTTATTTTATTACAAATGGATTATAACGAAAAACGCATCACAGTTCCCAAAATTATTGATGGGCCTAAAGTTGTCATCACAAATTGCGTAAATAATACCACAAATAATAGCGTAGGTTGAAACGCGTTGGCCTGAAAATCGTACTTCCTCTGACAAACCCGGAAATCCGTTCCAAGGACAATTTTTAACCCAATCACTTTTTTCTCGAAAATCCGTTCCGTTCATTCCGAGGTCATACTCGCCGAATCCACCCAAAATTGGCTCCCCCAGCCCGTTGCAGTGGATTTCCCAAACCGACCTGCTGACAATACGAAGAAAGTGATAACCTGCAAATGTGGGAAAATAGATTTTAGCGATAGAGAGAGAGTGAGATTCTTGCTAACAATAAGAGAACCCTGAGAGTAAAAGGGGCGGAGACTTGGCTCAAGATTACAGGAACTGTTAGATCGTTACCGGAAATGCGTAGCCTTGGCTAAGCGAGGCTTGTGGCCTCCTTTTTTAACAACATTGACTCATCTGAGAGGATGCTGGTGATTGAGAATGTTTTGGGTTTTGTGGTCTTTAAAGGTGGCATGAAGGAGTTAGGTAAGTGAGCGTATCACCCTACTAGCAAGCGTATGGGTACCACCTTGTGACGATTTAATTAAGGATAGCAGCGCTTCTTTTAGAGGCCTTTTAAATCGTGCAATCATCTCCCAAAGAAATGCGGCTAGCCTAAAAAGCTTCGAACGAAATTATTTCTTGGTATCCATCGTTTTTAACGTTCAATCCATCTTGCCAATTTGAATTGACTTCTTATCGTCCGGTTTTTGGCGTCTCTTTTTTTTTTTTTTTTTTTTTTTCCTCTTTTTTTTTTTTTTTTTTTGGTTTTTTTTCTTTTGTAATTTGTAGTGGCTTTTGAAATCAGATTTATAACTTATTTATTCCCAAGAAGACTCTTTAGCTGGTTTAACTAGCTCTCCTTATTTTCCCCACTGCTGGCTGCCGACGGGCTGAGGAATGTTCCATTGGTCTGAAAAAGTTCAGATAAAATTGCTGCTTTGAGGGAACCGCCAAGACAAGCGAAGCAGGCGTCAAAAATTAAAAGCTAGGATAGTCTAAAAACCTACTGTCAACTGGGGCGGGCAGGGGCTGAGCGGGGGCCTGACCGATCGGTTGGGGGATGTCCCATGCTAAAAAATAGATATGTCTAGAGCGAGGTCAGGAGAGAGTGATGAAGAGGAGAGAGAGAGAGAGAGAGAGAGAGAGAGAGAGTGTGAAAGCTAAATTATTCCAATTTACTAACGCTGAGGAGCAGCCGGGGCCTGGTTCACGGGCTGAGGCTGGGCAATCGGCTGCTGCTGATCCCAGGCTAAATTTGCATCGAGTTGCACAGATTTTTGAGTAGATTCTTACGCTGCTGCTGAGGCTGGTCCTGAGAAATTGGCTGGGGGATGTCCCATGCTAAAAAATTAAATTTGAACTGCATTTTTTTAATTCTAAAACGGAACTTTGAATTCTTACGCTGCTGCTGAGGAGGAGACTGGGCGACCGGCTGAGGGATGTCCCACGCTAAAGAAGTGGCTATATTTCAAGACAAAACCTAAGGTATAAAAACAAAATCATTTAAACAGACAGTAAAGTGAGAAATCTACAAAAAACCGACGTCCAGCAGCGGCCGGGGCCTGCTGGGGCAGAGCAGGCATCGGGAGGGCTGAAAAAAATAGGATGAACCGGAGCTTGGAGATTGGTTTAGGTTCAAAAATCAGTATCTAGTTTTAGTGGCGACTTTTCTGGGTAGCACCATCTTTTTAATACGTTATGAACGTACGTTGAGGCTGTGGGACGAAAGTTGGCTGAGGAAGAGCGGGCATCGGCAGCGGCTGGGGCATCGGCTGCGGCAGCGGCATGGGCTGAGGAAGGGGCTGTGGCTGGGCCTGGGGAATGTCCCATGCTAAAAAACAAAACTTTAAGATGCTAATTAACCTCGATTAAAATAGGATCTCATCCTTACGTCCTGGGGCGACTCCCGGGGCCTGGGCGATCGGCTGCTGGGGGAACGGCTGCGGGACATTCCACTCTGAAAAAGTATTTTTAATTCGGTAAATATACAATAAACTAACTTTAATTTAATAATGTTCAAGATACTTATTATCCTCAGCTTATCAATCCGCCTAAAAACCCACGATCCTGGGTCGGGGCCTGGGCGATCGGGGTCATTGGCAACGGCTGGGGCTGGAGTGGCTGTTCAGCTGAAATTGATTAGGTCATTTAACTATGCCTTTTCACTTGCTGGGGCCTTTAAAGTACATATACTGAAGTCTACAAATCGGCTATTACCCTGCTGGTTGATGAGGAGAGGCTGGGGCTGGGGCTGGTTGACCGGGAAGATCGGGCCTGGCTGCGGGAGGGCCGGGAGCGGGAGCGGTTGGGGGAAAACTAAAACAATCGGTTTCGGCAAGTTTCAATTTTGTTTAATATCTTTTGAGGCATAAATCCTACCTGGGGGAGACTGAGGCGGGAGAGGGCCGGCTCCTCCGTAGGCTAAAAATTGTAATTGTTCGATAGTCCTCTAAAACGCAACTGGGGAGAACGTAAGATTAATCGAGGCTCGATCTAGATTTTTAAAGCAATCTTACCTGGCGGAGACTGAGGTGGGAGCGGGGCGAATCCACCGTAGCCTGAAAAATTGGGAAATTGCGAAAAACCTCAGAAACTCACTCGGCGGGGCCTGAGCGGTCGGGATCGGGGCGGGCTGGCCGTAAGCTAAATGGGTTTATAGGTAAAAAATTTCCCTGGTTTTCCTTACGTTAGCGTGAGGTAGTAACTGATCGGTATGAAAGTAAACGGTAAGAGGTTTATTATTACTAATTAACTAGTACCAACCTGGAGGAGCCTGTGGCGGAGCGGCGCCATAGCCGCCCTGGTCCCAGGGAGAGGCGACCTAAAAGGCATCATTAATGCATCTTTGTTACATTTGTTGAGACTGTTAACTTTTCTATTGTTATTAGCAGCAAAATGCATAATTAAATACAGAATTGAATACGAGTCACTTTTTACATCACGTACCGGATGGCGGTGAGGTCCCTGCCAGGCGTCGTTGACGAACGGCTCACTAAATTCAAAAGTTATGTATAACTTAAATGTATTTTAGAGTATAATAGGAGCATTAATAAATAGATACCCTACCCCTGATGGTGGTGATGATGGCGATGATGTCCATCATGGTGTCCGCCCCAAGGATGGGCCGCAACAGCGGAGAAAAGGAGCGCGATGGCCAACCGGTTCATCCTATAGGTGCCAGATTTTTATAAATTCGTTAAAAGACTTTGTCAAGTCAAATGACTAAAGCACGTTTAATGGAAAAGTATTCATGAAAAGTATCTTAGAATGGATCTTCATGGACGAGTTAGTGATTGATAGATTTAGACGAATCTGTGAAAAACGTCAAACTTTAAAAAGAGCTTTTGGACGGTTTGAAAATTCGATCAGCGAAATGAAACCTTAAGAAGCCTCTCGAATTTTCTGATGCGCCTCGCAAATGTGTTGTCCCTCATGGAACGCCTGCAGCCTATATACAGGCTCCTCTATGTTTTGTCTCATTTTTTCATCGCTCAGCAGCCATGTAATGTCTTTTCTCTGCCCCCGTGTGGACGTGGCCACCACCTCCAGCCGATGATCAACGAGGAAACCAGGATTTTGGATGTTTGATGGGCAAGAAAGGCCGAAACCGGAATCACGCTCGATACGATAGATGACTTTAATAACCCTCGATGAAAGTGCGCGATATTTGTTTTAATGGTAAAATATTTTTCTTCTTCCAGCTTAACTTTCTGAGACCTACGTTTCTCAATTTTTTAGCCATTTTTCTGGGGCGTCGTTGCACTCTTCAGCGAAAAAAAGGAAATGGCTGAAATAAATTGAATGACAATAATCATGTTGAGTTAATTTGTCTGAAATTAGTCGAAAGTCTAAAATTAATGAAATTTTTTGTATATGTGACCTTGCTGATTCCTAAAAAAAAGCTTTTTAGCTGGCGTGCGATTCAGTGTTTATGAAATGTACGTAAGACTTTATAAAAACCGGTGATACGTCTTTGTCGCACAACTCAAACGATCACGTCAAAATCACAATCCAATATTTGATACGTTCTCGACTCATCAGCGATTACTCTTGATATTCGGCTTATCTGATTTTGGTTGGGGCTGAGGTCTAGCCCTGGTTTTGGCCCTTTGTTGCTGGCTCAAACTCGGAGCAGCTTTCCTCATTTTCTTCACCCCACCAGCTTGCTGTGGTGGATTTGTTCTTCTCGCCACGGAAGGTCCAGCCTGAGGCTCCGGAATTCTGGAGCGCCGATTCTCAGCGTTTCTCCTGATGTTGTGTAGGTTGGGGGCTGCTGGTGACTCGTACTCATCGATTTCTTCAACCTCGGTCGATTCGATGGAGGGCTGTGAAGCACGAGGAGTCGGGTAGGATAGGTAGTCGTCGTAGGCTGAAAAGTTTAATTGAATTTTAGTTTAAAAGGACAATCTAGCAGAGAACGTTGCGAAAGCCCAGTTAGCTAGAGAGATAGGGAGAGGGAGAGAGAGAATAAGAGCTAGAGAGAGAGAGACACGACGACTCCGGATTTTTTTGCAATTATCGACTTTTCAAAATTACCTGGGGCCGGTGGTATCGGATACTGTACATTCTGTGGCAACCGTAGCTGTACCCCTTCCGATGTCGCCACCAGCGTCATCACCCCGGCATTTGGATTATCTACAAATACTCCAATTTGTAGCCGATTCACCGCTCAGACGGACCGTGCCCCGTCTGAAAAAAACAAACCGCGGTTTTTCTTCGATCGCCTGTAGGGAAAAATTTTCGCTGACCCTGGTACCTGTAATCCCCTGTGGGCATAAATCTGGATAAACCCCTAACAATGCGTGATACGGTAGACGTGATACCCCGGGGATTACTGTAAGTTTTTGTCCTTCTTAAGTGGGGATCGTAGCGGATTACTTCCGGAGGCATATCCGCGGAATATCAGAAAAACTCGAAGCCGCTTATTCCCATTTATTTACGGGGTTGGGATATAATTTCAGATAAGTTGGATTTTCGTTGTCGGACATTTTTGATAAACGGCTTCTCTATAAGTGAAGCTAGAGATGGGTATGGTATTGTTAAATTGCAATAAAAGTACCTATTGTCCCTCATATAGTTTCCCTCAACCCCCGCCCGCCCCTCCCAATTTTTTTTGGAAATCGCATTTAAGCAGTAAAAAATTCGAAAAAACGTTATTGTTATCGCTGAAATTGCTCAAAATCAAGAAAATATATTCCTCCCTCTCATACAACCGCCTTCCTGAGCTGATTGAAATAAATAACCCCCGGGGGTTATATTAGGGGGGAAATGCGGTAATTTAATAATTGTAGTTTTCCAATACTTTTTCATGATACCCGTACTTTTAGGGGTTTGGAGCGATCAGCAAGGAGATTCTTTCGGGCTTTCAAAAAGCTAGGAAAAGGATAGAAAGAAGCAGACAAAAAGCTTCTTAAATATGAATTTACGTAAACCGACACGTAGTAGGGCGTTTTGGTTTTATGAGCATTGTGCTTTTTTATGAACTCTCTTTTCGAAAAGCCTCTAAGTCTTGCCCTGTTGTTTGCAAATCCTGCCTACAGTGAGATGTAGGATACAGGGTTTAAGCTTCTGGCCCACTCCTGATCTCCAGTCTAGAAAACTCCTTAAGAGGATCAAAAAAGTTTTAAAGGCCGCAGATAATAAAAAATACACTTTTTTTCCAACCTCCCAATGCGTTTTTGTGCCGAAAAATCAGCACCGACATCGTTTCTTCTGGAGGCCTTGACCCCGGATAAATTCTAGCATTCCAAAAACAATTTTTTTCTAAGCATGGGGTATCATTGATGCTTTAGGCTTTAGGTGGATATTTATAACTACATGTGGGTTTATCCGTAGGCTTGACTTAAGCTTAAACTGAGGCTTGGGTTTCTTGTTAGGCTTAGGCTTAGGGTAAGGGCTAGGCTTAGAATTAGGCTCAAACCTAGGCTTCATCTTAGGCTTAGGCTTAGGAATCGCTTTGGGCTTGGGTTGGGGTTAAGCTTAAGATTTAGGCTATGCTTCGGTTTGAGCTTGGGCTTAGGCTGAGGCAGCCATCAACTTTTGCCTTAAAGGGATGCCGACGGCATAGTTAATCGGTTACGCGCTGGAAAGAAAATGTCTCTGCGCCTCTCCCCGGGGCGCGCTCTCTGCGCTGTTGGCTACTTGCCAATTTGTTGATGGGGGGGATCGACACATGCCGTCGGCAGCCCTTTAAACAAAATAGCGATTCATTCCTGGTCCCCGGTCCTTTTTCCCGATTTTCCACATCCGGTACTAAAATGCTTCCGGTTTTTGCACACTAACCCTGTAGCGAACCTTTATTTTTTTTGACATGACCCTCACTAAGTCGCACGAGCGTGGTAAAACCGGGATAAGCATCCGTAAAAAAAAACATTTTCCATGCCGGTTTTGCTGTAAGTACGGCCACTTAAGACCACTCAAAAAAAACATGGAATACTTGGCGATCAGCGGCTCGAGGGTGTTAAAAAGGTCGCTGCGCCCACGAACACCCTGTAGGGAAGAGCTAGGTGAATGCCAAAAATGATAGACACTAGATAGGTAACACTGCGGCGGGCGCTCACGCGTCCATGTGACAATGTCTCTTTCAACTTCTTTTTCCTTCTACCTCTTCCCGAACATTTTTTTGTCACCTTTAAGCCTTAACCCACTTTTTCCGGCCCCCATAAAATAGGGCCCAATCGTCGGCGGTTCCTGGCTCTTGCAGCAGAACGTCTCCAGCACCTGGCTCCAGATATCATCGCACGAGCAGCAGATCTGAAATTACGCGGGGCCTGTTTTCGAAAACAGCTAAGAAATTCATTCCAATCATCTAGCCGGGACCAATTTCCCTACTTCCCTCCACCACCCAAGATTATCTACTACAACTATTTACGACAATTTTCTGGATTCGCCGATTTTGCGCTTCCCGATTGATCTCAGCGCTAGAAAACGCAGCAAATTCTTGTTTTTCCTTGCTAGTTTCCGGGAAGAAGCCGAGCGGGTGCTTGGTTCTGTAGCCTAGTGCCGCGCGAAAATAGGGGGTACACCTCTACACCTCTTGCAAGAATGGATTTTGCGGCTTGCAAAAATTGCCAAGATTTTTTCGAAAATATTTTGGTGCCTGCATTTTTTGCGCCCAGTCGCGAACGGCTGCGGTAAGAAGAGGATTCGTCACTTGCGCCCACGCCGCTGATTTAATTAATACAAGGCCGAAAAAGGATTGCTTTTAGGGCTTCTCAGAGAAATACTTTTTGTTTTGGTCCCGTGATCAAAATCCGATTGGCTATCAGTATTAATGGTAGAGCACAGGTTGAGGGGCTTCTGATTGCGTCTGTACTAATCTTAGCGCGATCCAATTCGGCCGAAAGATTAGGGAAAGAACTTACAGGTACAAGTGTAGGCCTTAGGCTAGTTTAAGACTTAGGCTTAGGCTTAGGCTTGGGCTTAGGCTTAGGCTTAAGTTAGGAGTGGTTTTAGTTTTAGGCTTAGGCGTAGGCTTAGTCTGGACTGACCAAGATCGGAGCAATGAGGGGATAGACGAAGCATAGCCACGTCAAAAGCGTATCCACATCCTGCTGGATCCCCACCTCAGCGTTGAGTTCAATCGAGCCGGATATCTAAAAAACTTACATAATACGGTAGCAATTAATCCTCTGTAAATATTCTGAATTCTTGCCATTAATTTGAGGCCACATTTTTAGGGGTACAATTTCTCATTGTTCAAAATTTACAGAACGCTTTTAGTTCCAGTTTTCGGTTTTCGATATTTCCTCTAACCGGGTAAGTCCGGATACGCACCCATCTCAATGTCGTTCTCTTTTGAGTTCCCGGCTTTTTGAGACCCTGTTTAAGGCCAGATAAACAACCTTCTAATTCTTTGGTCAGTCCGAGGTGTCGAAAATCCAGGTCTGGATTTCTAAGGGTCGTTTTTGACTGATTTTGCGATAACCTTGTGCATTCTCTGGATTATTAACTGCTATTTCGATTTTCTTTATCTTGCGCTCCACCTGCGATTATTTGGCGAGCCCCATTCCCAGTCGGATGCGCACTTCGAGTCGTCTGGAACTATGGCGTCTGGGCAGAGCCAAGACAAGAGGGCCGGCCTCGGCGCGTAAGGCTGCCTGGGCTTGAGAGCCAAGGAGTGAAAATTGCCGTTTTGGTTGTAAATCGAGTGGAGTGTGGTAGCATTTTCGTATTTTCTATATCTCTCTCTCTCTCTGTCTCTCTCTCTCTCTGTCGCTCTCGCTATCTCCGTCTCTCTCAGCATTGAAAAATTCTTACCTCAAATACCAACTCCATCACTGCGTATGGCCCAACAATGATTACAAAGGCGCAAAAAAGACGAACGGACTGAAAAAGAGAATTTAAGCATTTTCTTCATGTTTACCAATTTTCCAAGCAACGTATCCTCCTGTAGAGCCCTGGTCTTTGTGATGAATTCGGTGAATTCGTGGGATTGCTGAGGGATGCTCGAGATCTGAAAAGAGCGCATCGAAACGCATTACGACCTTTTTGGCTATAACTATGACGGTAGAATTTTTGTATTTTCGATTGGCATTAATGGATTTCAGAAATGTCAAAAGTACTTCAACCAACCTGTCTTCGCATGTAAATCGCCCCGGTGCAAATCAGCATCGCAACTAAGGCCAAGAGGTAGACGATCACTTGGACGAGAGCTCGATACATTGGTGCTCCTCTGGAATTCAGGTTTTAGATCAAGAAAGCGAGAGAGAGGGAGAGAGAGAGAGAAGAAAGAGCGAGAGAGAGACAGCAAGTAAGCGTCCAACGAATTCCAACTTACTCAGCAATTGAGCAAAGGTATCGATTGGTAAATGGGCGCACCGGAACGGCCGCAGCCAGGATTGGAAGTGTTAGGGAAAGCGTAATTGCGATATTTGCCGCCAGAAACGCTACAAAATAATTTGGAATGGAAAAAGGGTTCCAAGTGAATTTACCTGCAGTCCGGTAGCCTCCAAAAAGCTTTATCGGCTGTTGCGTAATGGTAGTAGCTCTCTCGGTGGCCATCGTGACAAGCAGAAGTGTTCCATACAGGGAGCAGAACTGAAACATTAATATGTATTTATTGGTTTAGCCGTGTTCATAATAGTGATAACAGGTGTAGAGTTTGTTCCCACTAGGTTAGCTATAACCAGCAAGAAGCCCCATTTTCAGAGTGGCTACGGCAAGGTCGGCGGAATCCGATAACAAACCTGTTGACAAAAAACATTCCCTCGACACAGAAATTCTCCAAGCGTCCATGTTCCATTTGCGACAAAGATCAATGATGGTAGAAGTACGGTAAATAAGAAAAATAGATGCACGAAGCAGAGAAGTACGAGGAGGCGACGAAAGAGGAGTCCGCGCAACTTTTTCCTGAAATATTCCGTGTTTTTCAACCAGTTATCAATATCAACTCCATCATGATTCTGAGACTTTCAATGGATAAAAAATGAAGATACCCGGCTAATATCGCAGCGATGACAACCAGATTTAGGATGAAGGAAGCGATGAAAAGTAGGGAAAGCAAGATGGCGCTTGATGTTCGAAGGCTTGTCGATTGCGTTGTCTAAGATTTTAACTTTTGTCGGTTCTCTCTTCCACGTTCTCACTCTCTCACTCTCTCTATCTCGCTCGCTCTCTCTCTCTCTCTCTCTCTTTATGTCTCTCTCTGTCTCTCTCCCTCTCTCTCACTCTTTCCTCGCTTTTACCTACCGCCAATGCAATATCAGCGATCGTATCCGTTGCTGAGACATATTCAATGGTCGAAGTCGTGGTACTGGCTGTGCTCATGGGAACGTTATTTGGAGCTTGTAACTCGAGTAGTCAGAGCACATTTTAGGTGACCGGAAGAGTCTGAATAATACTTTAAGTGGCTTCTAGATGCGTTAAGCAAACAGAAATCGATCCCGATGAGTTCAACATGCAAAACATTGAACGAAAGGAGATTTATGATATCGACAAAGTTTATTAAAATCCATTTTTTCAGACACATCGTTACTTTCGCTAAATGAAACGCTTTTGGAGGTCGTGTTCAGCATCCCAAATTCAAGGATTTTAAGCGGATTAGCGGCTTTTATGAGGAGTTGTGAGGGCATATCCGAGGACTAGTGGCATCCTCTAAAGCTACATGCAGAAACGTAATACACATAAAGCCTGTTGAAAGGCCAAAACGGATCGACATTCGTAGCGTCGTCCGAGGCCCCACGGCCCTTGACACTTCCATGGCAACAAGGAGTCAGCGGGAATGGGGTCCCGCGCTATGGCTGAAGCCATTACTACTTGCTGTTGATGCGTAGAAGCGTTTTGTTGCACTTTGGAGTTGTGTGATTATTACGAAAAATCGGGACTCAAACAATAACAGCTAATGAGGAAAGTTGGGGTGTGGTATCAATGGTGTCGTTCAAATCTTGAAAAAGAGACTGGAAATCAAGACATTTTAAAATTTGTGGTTAAAAGGTCTTCTACGTTTTCTCGATGTCTTTCATTTTCAGCAGAAACAAGGGTCACATTATTGCAATTACGCAGGTCTTCAATTACACAAATTTTGCGGCAAATCCGTTTACACAGATTTTAGTATTCTACCTTTGATAACACTCGTCACAAAATCGTCCGGAGTCTGAAGATCGACTATCAAAAAGGGCACACTATTTCCGGATTAAGCCTTTTATGCCTTTTTTCTGCAGGACAAGGTACACGTTTCGGAGCCGTTATAAGTACTTGCTGCTGAAAATCACGTAAGTGTCAACCCGGCATGCTATTCCGGACGAGTACACCGTGTTTATAAAAATAAAACTGTAAATCATTTTTCAGAGCAGCTTTCAGGAAGTTCCGCTTTTCCTTTTGATGCCACGCTCTCCCGCCGTCTCCTTCTTTCCATCTCTTTCTTGCTCACACACTTTCTCTAGCTCTCGCTCTCTCTCTCTCCCTTTCTCCCCCCCCCTCCTCCCCCCCTCTCCCCCTCTCTCTCTCTCTCTCTTCTCTCTCTCTCTCTCTCTCTCTCTCTCTCTCTCTCTCTCTCTCTCGCTGTCTCTCCCTGACCTTTAAAGATTCAAAAATGGCTGGGAGGAGGAAGCCCTAATTTGAACATTTGGCACCCGAATCCTAACAACACCGGGGATGAACGGCATCAACAATTGGAAATGGCTGAAAATCTCTGAATCCAAATTACCGAAATTTGGTGGCAAACGGCTAGTGATACCCGGGGCTTTTGAATACGGCAACGAAAATGCCTGTTTCGAAAAAATTAATCCGTAAGGTAGGAAAGTGGTAAATGCCAGATACAGTAAAGAGTTTTTGCTAAAGCGTTTTTTTTTGCAGAATGGACGCAGTTGATCCTTATAGAGGTTACTTAAATAACTTTGAGTTACGATGCGAACTCGGGAAGGTATGAAGTGTCTACAGTATCCACCCGGAAATTTCCCGTCGAATCAAAGTTCTAACCAAAGGCTCAGCATAGCGCTAAGTCTTCGGCCATTTTCAGCATGTTTTTGTCGTCCTAAAGAATATCTGCTAGGTTGCTTTTAGCCAGATTTTTAGCGGATTGCCCAATTTTGTGCTGAAAGAAGAATTTTCGGATTTTCTACCAGGTCCCCGACGCCATTTTCCCAATTTCCCCAATTCCAATCCTCCCCGTTGGCACGTCATTGCTTGGCTTTTCCAATTAAAGGATGTTCGTCTCAATCCCTTGTACCAGACAGACAATTTGCATATTCCCAGGCGGTCCCGATTCTCACGTCAGCACGTGCCGAAAGCCGAAATGGACGCGGCCGTCGTTCATTAGGAAGAGAGAGAGAGAGAGAGAGAGAGAGAGAGAGAGAGAGAGAGAGAACCCACGCACCTTAGATGCTAATCTATTAGGTGCTTCGCCCAATCTAGGGGGCTGGCGTCATCGGGTGGGCCTCAATTATAGCATGAGAGCACAGACCGACCCGTCTGCAGCTGGTGTGCTTTGATCATCGCACTGGTGGGGCAGGAAATGGGGGTGTTTTGCAGTGTGACCACTCTTTTCGAGAGAGCGAGAAGAGAGAGAAAGAGTGGGAGAAAGATAGACCGACGTTCCGATCATCACGCAGTGGTCAGACACAGGAAAGACCCGTGGGCCTAGACTTCCGCGCACACTTTTAGCCTAGGCGGTCTCAGGCCCACGTCTAGACAACATCTTCCCACGCTCGCCTATCATTTCAGACCTACTTCCGTTTATTTTCAGGGTGCCGCTATGGGTCCGGACAGAAACGGAACAATAAATTAAACAAGCCAAAAACTTTTTTTAATTCTAAAACTTCTTCCTTCTAAAACTGAAACGTCACCGTTCTTTTGACAATACAGTTTCGAGCGACTTGCAATTGATTTTCAGGGCCGCGCGAACGCAGCCCCTGACTCAAAAATTTAGCTGTAGGCGAACCCCAACTCGGAGCTGCCTTACAGGTCAGCCCGGCCGAGAAGTGCAATGGCCAAGCCTCGCCATAGGGGTCCCGTCTTGATGATCACGGGAACCCCCCAGCCAGGTAAGTTTATGAAGGGATGGGAGAGGGAAGGTATCCACAGTCAGTGGGCCAGGTCGGGGGCGAGTCAGGGCGCTAGCACGCTCAAAAGTGCGGGAAAACCGACTTTGGTCATCCTCTCCAGTGTTTCATGGTTCACTTGTTGCATTGACCTCCAAATCGGCAGATGTTCGGCCTTCCCCGTCTCCCTTCCCCGCGCAATGCTGCATGAGCGCTGCCCCACGCGCCCCCCACCTGGCCCACTGTCTGTGGATACCTTCCCTCCCCCATCCGTCCATAAACTTACCTGGCTGGGGGGTTCCCGTGATCATCAAGACGGGACCCCTATGGCGAGGCTTGGCCATTGCACTTCTCGGCCGGGCTGACCTGTAAGGCAGCTCCGAGTTGGGGTTCGCCTACAGCTAAATTTTTGCGTCGTGGGCTGCGTTCGCGCGGCCCTGATAATATCACCTATCAAAACATCGATTTTAACAATGCCCTTTCTTCGAGCGATCGGACTCCTCGGCTTTTATTTTCCCTTTTTAAAAACTCTAAGAACCTCTGCTACCCAAGACCGGAACTCCCGCCTGTAGTTTCACCCCTTCGCCGGAAATCCCAATAATTTAGGGGATTGAACTATGCGTCCTATTCTGCGGAATACATCATAGTTTGTTAGTGGCATCACGCCACTTTTTTAATCCTGAGGCCACCTGCGGTCAAGAGGAGCCCATACAAAGTGGGGGCGCAGGGGTATGGTAGATCTTCCTCTATTCCGTTTCCGGGTCACGGAAATAAGGTTAACCCCTGTGTCAAGTCGCCCTTTCCAGCTACCGTAGTCCTGGCAAAATTTTTGGGCGGATTCAGGGATGTGTTTTTATTCTTCTTTTGGCCTGGTGCCGGCTACCGTAGCCTGAAATAGACCCAACGTAGCTCATTGATTACCGTACACTATTAATTTTCATAATGTGATTATTAAGTTGTGTGCTTTGTAAATTTTCAAGGCTTTGTGCGTTTTTCGTACTTTCCCAGTTAACGGTCGTCTATCGTATCATTTGAAGTTTGGAGGCGGGTTAGCTAGAGGTAGATATTTTCATTTTTTTGTTTTTCAAATCCCGCTCCGCTCCTCTAATTTTCAGTCTTTATTTCATAGTGTATAACTTCGTAATTGCTATTTTACAGCAAAATTCCGCGTCAGTCCCCTAGAGACAGTCCCGAAGCTTGCAACCCCAGTACAACTTTTGGTCCCTAGGATTAGCCATCGGCCATTTTTGGTGCTATCAAGCCCCAGATTTGGCCCCTCTCACGTCATTGGGATTTACGTCTAGAACAGAATACCCCCTGGTATACGGTAAAAGATCTTTGGATCCGTGTCGGATTTACAAAGCCGGGTAAGTCGGGTTCAGTACTGTGGCTTGTTGCCAATCGTAGCCGGTGGACTACTGCAATCCGGGAAAGCCGGGATTGTTGAAGGAAGTAGGATAACGGGTTTTTTCAGGGTTCTTGGCTAGCCTGAAAAACATGGATACCTGGAGAAATGTACACTTT